TATTGGCATCCCCCATCGCTTGAGGCACCTCAAGAAATAAAGGCGCTGCTGAGCCTTCTTCATGATAGAGTCAGTGTTCACAGTCCAGGTTAGATCTTTAGAGATGTGAATTCTCAAAAACCTAAAGCTGGTGGCTGTTGATCTTATTTGTGTAAATAAAATATTTTATTCATCAGTGAAAGTATCTACACGCTTAATATCCTGTGCAATGCAGTACTGCGGCTGGGTGGTGCTATATTAATTGCAAATTAAACCTTTTAAAATAAATTGTGCTATGGGATATCGGGGTATATTATTTACCCTTAGTTTTTACAAGTATTTCAAATACTGATGATTTGCTTCATCTCTCTGTCCATTTTCTAATTGCTTTATTCAGTACAACATTGCAAGGGAGGCGGAGCTTATCCTGACGAGCAATGGGCAAAAGGCAGGATACACCATGGATGCCAGTCCATCGCAAGGCACACAGAGACCCAAAAATGCACACACACCAGGGACAGATTTCTTGGAAGGTCATTAACCTAGGAGTATGTCTTTGGACTCGAACAAAACCAGAGCACGTGGAGGAAACTGACAAGAAGACGGGTAGAACATATAAACTCTGCGCCCTGTGAACTCAGGGCTCTACCGTTTCATAGGAAAATGTAATAATAATTGACAAAGGGAAATGTGTCTCAGAAATATTTGCCAGTTGGGCTTTGTTAAAGACACAATTCAGTCATTGCCAGTGAGGCAACACAACTAAGTTAATTAAGGGGACCCTTTTGTCATCTTAGTTTTACAACACATACACTTTATGGAGCAAATCCCTTGCAAAACCACACACATAAGTGTGAGGACAGTTTGTTCCAAATAATAGTAGCCAACACAGTGAACTACTGCAGATTATTAAGCAGTTTTATCAGTAATTTACATTGAAATGAACCCAAAAATAGGACCATAAATGTTTTGTGTGATCTTTAGTTTGTAAGATTTAAAATGTGGTCTTAAACTAGATGTAGATGTAGGAAAAATAAAATAATTATTATGTGGAATTGTTGCTTTTTTGAATTTCAAAAGTATTCTTATATTGCAAGAATTGTGCCAATTGTGTGAAAGAATTTAAGCTAATCATTGCAGACCTTTGCAGTCATTTCCATATTACCTCCAGTATATCTTGACCTTCTAGCTTTCTTCTAGTGTGACATAAGGATCTCCATTGTTTTTTTTAATGTAGATATGTCAAAGACCTTTGCCAGACAAGGTCAGGTGGACGTACAGTATTGATTTTTTTTTACCTAAGCCCTTGTTTACAGGCTCTGATGCTCTCAAGAGATGGCTGTGGTGTTGCACTGGAAAGGTGAAAATTCCTGTCAGTGGTGTATGCACCTAATTGCCCATATTCCTCTAGAAGTTCTGGAAGAAAGCAGTTTCCAGTCATTAGGGACACCGAAATGATTTTTTATTTCCTTAGGGCTATAGTAAACCCCGTCATGTTTTTATTGTTCTTTATCAGCAAGTGTTGTGAAGTTATTTTCATGCGAGAAATGCAAATGTTTAGTGGGGTGATTCTTCTGTAGTCTTTTCTGACAGGCTTAATCCTGGTTGGCACCTGGTAAAATGAGATGAGGTCAAATAGTTTAGTAAAAGATCTTCACAAATAAAAAACAGAGACATGGGGTATTGGCTCCAGAGAGAATGGCAAATTCTAAAAGACATGGAGGCAGTTGAAGGTGGGTTTCAAGGCAGGCTGACCATGCAGAGAGAACCAGGGAATGTGTTGGCATTCCCATGCTAGAGAGGGGCTAAGTCTAGGAGCCTCATGCTCCAACTCAGCCATGTCTAAGTTAGGGCAGGGCAGCAACTCTCCTGCCATACCTTTAATCGACCACTTTATGTAATCAATACAAAACGTCAGGTTCCGGGAGCAGTTGGTTAAATGTCACTTAAAATACCTGACATATAGTTGCCTCCTACTAATAACCTGTGTCTGCATCATTCTACTGCATTTGGAGGTGACCATAGGCATGTGTACAGTGGCACCTTCGTCTTCACTTAGCTTTCTTGCAAGAACTTTAAGCAGAAGATACAGCCAACAGTTTCCATGAAGGAATGTGTACTGTGTATGTAAGAAAATATATATATATATATTTCCCGTTTTTGTATTCTCAAGTGGTAAGAAACTTAAATGTTCTCCGCAGGAAAATCGCATCTTCTAAATTATCCCGCACCCACTGTAATTGATTTACATTGCCTGATTGCAAATTCACTTTGATGATGTAAGTCGAATTTTGAATATGTACATACATGCTGCCATAAATGTGGAAATCTGCGGTGTTTCCCTTCAAGACAGCCATGTTCTCCCAGATGTATTTGAAGTGTAAAAGGGAGTCAGCTGTAAATTCACAGGAGTCAACAAAGTGCCAGCTCAGTTCCCTGAAGAATCCTTGGGCTGATCCTTAATACAAATAAGGTATTTGGTGCCAACTCTTTCCCACTTTCCTCCAAGGGGCCGAATGTGAAAGGCTGTCAGGCAGAAAATAGCACAACTAAGATCTGGAACACTGACAGAATTTAGTATCAGATTCTGCTTGGAGTCCTGATTCACAGTTTAGCATTCAGCTCAAAACCACAGGTGTCTTTTTGTTTGGACAAGAATAAAAAATGGCTTTCCTGTGACTCTTACCTTTTGCCTGCAAAAAATCGGAAGCGGACCCTATTAAATAAATTTATTGGTAGTCCCCCTTCCCTGGTATCGAAAGCACACAGGACCTTCAAGTGGTTTTGCTGCTGCAGGTGTCTTCCTTTTGAATCTGCTGCTGTGCATTTTCAACTTTATTGTTGCTCTATGAATTTAATATCACCTCTTCCCTGGAGAGATCCTTGAAATGTTCTGAGCCAAGGTCTAATGGCTAGTAACACACAAGCAAACCCACTTGAGCACTGCAAGCAGCAGTGAGCAGATAGCATTAATTGTTTCGTGAGCATTACCTGCAGATGCAATGACGCGACCGTGCAAGTTGATGTGTAGGCATGTGTAATGCATAGTGGTGGCAGCTCAGAATAGATCAAATTCCTCTTAAATGAGCGGTGTGTTAACAAGGACGATCACAAGTCGGTGCCTTTATATCATTTGCAAATTCTATGCTATATAAATTAACAATTCAGATGTTGCAGGGTACCACGTATGTCACAGGCTAGAATACAGGCATCATTATACTGTATACAGTATCTCCTTTTGAAGTAAGACATTGTTTACTTTTAAATGATGCATGCCACATGCAGTGCTTTGCAGTTTTTTATTGTGTTGCTTTAAAGTTTGCAGTCATTACACTTAGAAATGAATATTTGTTATACACAAACCCAATCCATGCATTCAAAGCAAAAAACAAAAAAACATTTAAAATTTATTTTGGGACACAAAATCACTAAAGTGCACACAGTTAATTAGGTGGTTTCTTTCTGCAATAATAGTTTCCTTGATTTCACATGCATACATTTGTCTCTCTGAGAAAGATCGTGAATGTCAATATTCACTATGGCAGTGAATGGCAGTATTCAACCCTGAAGAGCAATGAGCTTTAAAAACAGCTTTGGAATAAGGCCCTATAAAGGTACTGATCAGGAGAACGGTGTATACAAATTTCAAAGACCCTTAGTATCTGTTTGAGCAAGTCATTAAGAAGTGGAATCACCTCGATACCTCATAGACCAGACTGGCCTTCCAAACTGCCAGTCAGGTAAGAAATGGTATGCGACTGTGTGGGCAACAGTGACTTCGAAAGAGCTACAGAGTTCAGTTGCTGAAATGTGAGGAAGTGTGCAATAACTCAGTCGTCACTCCACAAAGCAGGCCTTTATGGCAGAGTGGCGGCCATCTTAAATCCCACATGGAGTTTGCAACAAAGCATTTATAGGGAAAGTGCAATGCTGTTTTTATATTTCGGGGTTAGACATAATCAGCATTGATGAGTGCGTTCAAACCACAATAAAAGTAAAATGTACACAATAACTTGTAAAAC